GCCCTTTTGAGATGACAGGAGAGCCTTCGTGCAGGTCTTCAGCCTCTCTCCTCATTGCGATTAAAAAGGCTCTCACCTAAATCGTCAGTGCTCTCATCTAAAACAACGCCTGCCTCTAGTCCAACACACACAGGATGTTTATTTAACCGCAACATTTTGGAGTTAGCCAAACTGCTTTTCCAAGTACTCAGAGATCACCCCAGATAATCTCCATCACCTCTCATCAGCCTCTTTAGCCTCTCAGTAGCACAAAACAGCACTGGCTGATGATTGCAGTGATGCTTTATCCTTTACTTACCAAGCTCCCTTATTGAGTTACCTGTGACTTCCTCCATTTTGTCATAGCCATGTCTAACAGAACATTACCATTACCAGTTATGCAGACCTGATAACCAAACCACTGAAACATGCCTACAAACAAAGAAATTCACAATCTCCTTTTTTTTTTCTCCCCCTCCTTTTCTTTCCCCCATCAGGCCATTTCTGATCAATTCATGCATTTGAAGACCAGAGGCTTACACTGACTGCAAGGGTCAGGTCTGGCAGGCAGGACAGCAGTCACTTGGATTGCTCGCTTCTTATTGCGCCGTTCTTGCTACATACAGACAAGCCCTATTCAAGGACTTGAGAAAGCATTAAACTTTCATGGTATTTATGCATGGGACTTAAAAATAATGCATGCCTTTAAATATTCCCTTGAATGAAGTGATATCACTCGTGAGACAAAAATGCAACTTTTCTTTAAACTCACTGCTGGGTTAGAAGTTCAGTACAGGCAGAAAAAGTCTAGAACACCAGGGAGGAAAGATGTTTAGAGAGTTAAAGAGAATCTTTAAAGATAATAAATAGACAATTAAGAAAAAGGAAAAGGTGAGGAATACAATAACTTTTATCAGTAAGTACAAAAATCACTGCAATAATGACACCAGCAGCATCATAGAATTGTCAAGGTTGGAAAGACCATCAATATCATCTAGTCTGACCCATTACTGGGGAGCAGAGGCCAACCCTCACCTCATCACAACCTCATTTCAGGAAGCTGTACAGCATCTTAAGGTCTCCCCTGAGCTCCACTTCTCCAGACTGAACAATGCCAGTTTCCTCAGCCATTCCCCATGACAGCGGTGCTCCAGATCCTTCACAGCTTACCCGTCCTTCTCTGGACATGCTCCAGGGCCCCAACATCATCTCTGTAGTCAGAGGCCCACAACTGAACACAGTACTCAATGTGCAGCCTCACCAACGTGAATACTGATCACCTCACCAGTCCTGCTCACCACACTGTTTGTGATAGAGGCCAGGATGCTCTTGGTACTCTTGGCCACCTGCGCACACTGCTGGTTCACATTCAGCCAGCTGTCAGCCAGCACCCCCAGATACTTTCCTGCCATGCTGCTTTCTAGCTGCTCTGCCCCAGGCCTGTAGCGATGCACAGAGTTTTTGTAACAGAAATGCAAGACGCTGCACTTGTCTTGTTAAAGCTCATGCAACAACACTTTTCCTTTAAGCCAGATTCATCAACTTAATTCTTTATGTCTGGAAGGTATTACAGAATCACAGAATCACAGAATTGTAGGGGTTGGAAGGGACCTCCAGAGATCATCGAGTCCAACCCCCTGCCAAAGCAGTTCCTACAGCAGGTCGCACAGGTCGGCATCCAGGCAGGTCTTGAACATCTCCAGAGAAGGAGACTCCACCACCTCCCTGGGCAGCCTGTTCCAGTGCTCCTCACCTCACTGTACAGAAGTTCTTGCGCACATTGGTGCAGAACTTCCTGTGCTGCAGTTTCTGGCCGTTTCCCCTTGTCCTGTCTCCACTCACCACTGAAAACAGTCTGGCCTCGCCATTCTGCCCCCCACACCTTAGATATTTATAGGGTTTCTTACAACCAATAAAACACAGAGGCTGTAGGAATGAATCTCCAAGAAATTTGGAACTAGCTAATAAGAAACCAGAGCTGTTGCCTTACCTATTTATCTCTTGAAGAAGGCAGGAGATTAGGAATAGGGCTCAGCTCCTCCTGAAAAGTTACAGAAGAAGAGTCCAAGAGACTTTTTCAGATGTACTCCTCTCAGGACTTGGAGATGTCACATCACTTGCTGTTCACAGCTTCTCTATGCAAACTGCACCAGCACTAACAGCAGTCGTAAAGCCCACCTCAGCAAAAGGGCCACGATTTCTGCTCACAATACAAGTTTTGAATTTATATAATCCTTTATCACCTCACAAAGCAATCCCTCATTGGATTTTTTTTGTTTTTTCAGGAATTGCTGTCAGCGAGAGACATTATTCTCTGTCCAGCCCTGTTCATGCTTTAGCACCAAGAGCTGAGTTCAGCTGCCCTACAGCTCGTAAAGTATCTCACAAGGAAAATGGCTGTTTGAAGGTCCTCCCATGCACACAGCACATCCATCAGTGGGCTTGCTCTTACCACCTCTTCTGAAGAGGCACTGATGGTCAGTAACTCTTGGCATGGACACATCAGTTTTTTTGTGGCAGGTAAGACAAGTGACATGGTCAGTCAGACCACGGCTGAAGCGATGCCCAGAGAAACCTGTGACGTACATCTGTCTTGCTTCCAGGTGACACTAGGACTACTCTGTGTCTTTCACTTCTCTGCAGTGAAAACCATCAAAGCCACAAACCCAGTCTGCATGAATCCAGCATCTTTAACTGTAAGAGGTGGGGAAAAAGATACATATCCAGACACAGGTGACAGAAGAGATTGGCTTAAATCAAAAGAAATCCATCTGAGTCACTTTTAGCAGTTGCCATGCTATAATGGGATGGAAAGCAACGTGATAATAACAGGGTGGCAAAATTTTTGTCTACAGTAAATGAGAACGAGCCCAAATGCTGTGGCTGTGTACACAGGAATGAAGGAAAAGAACCGCTTACCTTTGGAAGGCCTCAGGCATGCAGGGACCTCCAAGAAGACCCCCTCACCTCACTGCCAACCCTTAAATGAGGGCTCGGAAGGGGTGGATCCTGGCTCCAGCCCTTCTGGTCCACAGTACATTGTATGCAGCTGAGCTCCCTGGTTTGGCCCTGCCCTCCCAAAAGTTGCTCCGTCACTGGCTCAGGCCATGACAGTCAAAGCCAGTCCCTTTTCACTCCCATGGGTTTTGTGAAAGTGAGAGAACATCACAGCAGGAGTAATAATGCATGCATCTTTATGAAAACCCAAAACAAGGAGATATCCAACAGGAATACACCACATTTATTCTTTAAGCTATAAAACATCAAGTTGCTTGGTTTTATAATTTCTTTTAAGAGAATACCAGAATGATCCTTGATCCAGCATGGCCATGTGGAACTAGAATTTGACTTCTTGTTTAGTCGGGCTTTATATTTTGAAGGATTTTGCTTTTTGAGAGGAGAATTATGTGTCTGATGATCAGCTCAGACATGCTGAATCATGACAGCTCAGATAGCTCAGATCGTGGTTTTGAGAAGGAACCATGGACACCCTCAAATAATGAGGCAGATTTCACCTACTGGAAATCAAACCAGGGCATATTGTGCTCTCAAGCGTGACTCATTTCCTGATGCAGTTAGGCTTTAACTAGGAAAGCTGAAGTCATGCGAAGAGATCAACAATGCCTTCTATAGTAGGCTTTGGGATCAGAACCACAATGCGTGAAGGCTGCACAGGGCTTTGAAGGAGATATCTTCTTGGAAATACATCATGGGGCCCTATTTGGTTTGTTCCTGATTTTGAATTATGGAGCCCACATCCCTATGAGAATGAGATTCTCTCCAATCTGTTTATGAAAAAAATAATACAGCAGTGTCAACTCGCTGGCAAGAAAATTTGCAAGGCTTTGAATAGATAGTATTTCTGTTTCTTGCTAAATCATTTCAAACAAAAACAAAGAAGTGACAAGGGAAAAAAAAAGTTTAACATTCCTGCTGCTTCTGCCAAATGAAACAACAGCCAGGCAGGCGTTCAGAGCTTCATGCTCTTGATTCTTCGCTCTGTTTTTGAACAGGCAACACATCAGCCACACTACAGCATCTATTAAATTCTTTAGCATTCCATATCAAAAATCATATATCAGATTTAGCATGCTGCTGTTGCACATAGGGATTCATCCACAGATTTGCTGTTTGGAGACACAGCCAGCACCTCCTCTGCTAGATCAAATGGCTCATCTACTCAGCAGATCCAAACAGATCCAAAACAGCACCAGGATTTCTCTTTTCAGTGAATGTAGAAAGAAATGGAGAGGCAAAGCTGATCCTAGCAACAACTATACAAACAAAACCCTCAAGCAAATATTTTCATATCTATCAGCTACAAATGATCAAAATTTCTTAACTGGGAAAGTCAGACCTGAAGTTGTTTTCATAGTGCATCGTTCTCTTCTGCAGCACAGGAGGATTAGTCAGATAGGAGTACAGTGTCTACTCAGCACTGTGACTTATGATCCCAACTGAAGACATGTCATTTTCAAACAACAGTATTTTCTTAGGAAAATATTGCCAGATTCACCTGAAGTTTTTTCAACGAATGCCGTGGGCATGGATTAGTGATTGCCTTATTGTTTGGTAAAAAAATGAAACACAGAACAAAATAAAAAGGATCCTACTGTAAACCACAACTTTTCTGCAGGAAAATGAAACAGCAGGGTATCATTCAGGGTATAAGCACCTGATGGATCATAGAATCATTAATGCTGGAAAAGACCACTAAGGTCATCTAGTCCAGCCATCAAATGGGCTAACAGAATTTGCTGCCTCGAGGAGGCAGTGTTGAACGGGTTAACAAAATGTCATTTCCATGCTTCCTGCTTTTTCCTGTCAACCCAATAAATAGAAAAAGAGACTGAATTAAACCTCTCAGGTAATCCACAGGCTTTCCATTTAACCAAATGAAAATAACAATGAGCCAAGTGGAAGCTCAACAACATTTTACGTACATTCGTAACTCTTCTCATTTTTCATGTACTGCTGCTCATCAAACACACACCCCAGCGAGAACTGATTTTGTGACTCACCACAGGTGTAGATGACATTCAGATGCTTTTGGATGCCGGGATAACAAGGATCTCCAAATTCATAGGTGCTGGCATATATGCTACAACTTCTTTTCCCATGGCAGCGCTTGATCATGAGTTGGAGAGCAGTAGCTGACTTGCAGTCTGTAAAGGAAAAAGGACAGAGCATGGAAGAAAGATCTCAGGAGTCTCTTTCCAGTGCATTTATCCAGAAACACTACATGCTTCCTTGTAAATTAAATAACTGCCACAGGAAAAGAAAATACATGGAAACAGTTAAAATATGCATGTGGAATTTATGACGTGTATCATTTATTGGTTCAGCATTTATTTAGCTGTCTGATAATGCAACTGATCGCAGCAACGTGCAAAATTATTAGCAACTTTCCACTTCATGGGTATGAGCAAGATGGGCTTTGTGAACTTGTTCAGGGAAGAGTAAAATTGATTTGAGTGTGTAGATTTTTTTTCCAGATGTTGCTTGTTTCATTTTGAGAGGAAGAGAGAGAGTGAGTGTGGGAGGTTTGTGAGGTTCTTTAGCCTTTGCTATGTACAAAAGAGCTGTCTCAACTCTGCAGATTCCACACTGCTTCTGCAGACAGAAGTGCTCATTGTCCCTGTCTGTTCTTTGCAGATGCTGTATTTCTAAGGCTATAGTTTTTTACAGTTTTACTGTCCACCATCTAGGTAGAAATATTCTATTAATTGTGTTTGTTCCACGCAAGTATAAATATTTGTCAGATCAGGACTTGAGAATACGCAGAAGTCCAAAAGTACTCACCAGATTGTTTGCAACTGTTTTCTCATGTAAAACAGAGAGGACAAGCTCTCCAAATTTTCAATGCCAGACTGACAGTTTGCTTTCACTGTCCAACCACAGTCAATGACAGTGGGAATCAACAAGATAGTTTTTGTTTAACATTAAGAAGTTTAGCAATAGAAAATCTACCGAGAAAAGAATGCAAATCCATTTGGTCACTCGTTAGGAAGCAGGGAAAGGGAAAGTGGACCCTGAAAGGTATTGAATGATACAAAAAGTATGATGGTTTAACACCAATAGGCAACTAAACACCACTATGTTGCTCTCTTTCTCTCCTTCAACAGATCAAGTGGAGAAAATATGATAGAAAAAGGATCATGGGTTGAGATAAGGACAATGAGATTTCAAACCAGTTACTGTTACAGAAAAACAGATGAAACATTAGGGAGATTAATGTAATTTGTGAGCTGCTGCTAACAAATGAGAGCAATAAGAACTGAAAGCAAACTACTAACACCTTCATCCCCACCCACCCTCCTTCACCTCCTCCTCCTGAGTGGTGCAGAGGAATGGCACACTGGGCTGAGTTAGTCCACAAGACTTACTAGGGCTGGCTGGTTCAGAACATGGAGCGAGAGAGCAGGGGTTGCTCCTGGGCTGCAGGGAGCTTCAGCTCTGCACCTGAAGCACCTCCTGCCCTCTTTCTGCGCTGCCCTTGGGGGTTGCAGAGCTGCTTCTCTCCCATTTCTCATCCTCTCTCCCAGCTGCACAGCAGTTTTTCCCTCTCCTCAGTCTGCTCTCCCAGAGCGCACCCAGCATTGCTCAGGGCTCAGCTCTGGCCACTGGCAGTCGCTTAGGAGCAGCTGGAGCTGGCTGTGATCTGACGTGGATGGGGCAGTGCGGGGCTCTGCTCACAGAAGGCACCCCTTGCAACCTGCTGTTCAACAAATGCCAGAGGTTCCAACAGAAACATCTGCATTTGTGTTTTCGTCAAAGGTCCAGTAAGAGAAAGTCATCAAGTCTACTCACTAGATAAGATTTCATGGAGGGTATCTATTCTTTTTATTTGTTTTGGTTCCCACACAAAACAGACAGCATTCCAGGGCAGTGCAGTGGCCTCACTCCCCAACACTCCATGGGAGGATGAGGAATTACCCACACATCTTCAACGGCTGGTTCTGGGATCATCAGCCTTTGGGTTCTCCTCCTGTAGGAACAAGTAGTTTCAATGGTTACAAGCCACAGGCTCTGCTCTCCAGCTCAGCAGGCTGGATTGACTCTGCAGGACCCAGTTCTGTAGAGTCAGCACACTGAATATGCTTATGCGAACGTGACGATATCACCAGCTCCTCTGGACACCATCAGTCATGTCTTGGTATTGACAAGCTCCTTTCTCCCATGCAGAAAGCTACAATCTCTATCCATACTGACCTTAACAGCTTCATTGGCACTACAAAACCAAACAAGGCCTGAATGCTTACACACCAAGTTTAAGAGTTATCCTGTGAGCATGATTTTGCCAAGTGGCATTATGCCAGACACTGCAGAGGTCCAATGTGAGAAATCACAAGGGCTGTTTCCAACTGTCAGTTTGCAGAAGGCTTCCCTGGATATTCTGAGGAGAAGAGCAGGGGCACGTGGTAGAGGATTTCGCCACACAGACACCATGTCAGCCAGTCACAGCACCAGGCAGCAGGCTCTCTCTCACTGCATTTAGTATAGCACATGAGCATAATCCTGTTGCTATCTTTTTCAGGTAGAAGCTTCTCCCCAGGAGAAGACAGTCTTGCCTATGCTACCCACCAAAACCAAAATGCCATACTGCCAACAGACAGCTGTGAGACCCTGCTATGGCCTCTTTGCAGTCCCACCAACCAGTGCAATGGAGCCCAAGTTATAATGGCCAAGCAAAGAGTCATGCAGCTTCATCTGGCAGAGTGGGTCCTAACGCTGCTGTTCCTGTTTGTGTGTTAACTGTGCTAAGGACCAGTCTATGCTGTTTGGTTAGCATGCTTGCTGGTAAATGAAAACTTCCCCGGCCCATTCCCAGGCCCTGAGGCCAACTGTGTTGGAACAACCAACATTAATACTATTAAATACTCTTACCTTCCAAAATAGTGGTGAAACACGATAGGAATCAACCCTGTCCCATACACAACTTTAAACCAGTTTCTGGGCTGACTGTTAGTGTCAGTCAGGCCAAGACAACTAATTATAGCAACAAGTGCAGTGTAATTTAACAGAACAGAAGATCTTACAGTATCTGTACCCAGGCCTTGGCACTATTTTGCCACATTCAGGTAAGCCTAGATACCCAACTTCTTAGGGCACAAACCTACGTCCTCCATATTCACCTAACCACCAGTAGTGTCATGCTTGACTCTCCAATCACCAGGCTGCTCCAGCTCCACCTGTGCCAGACAAAATGAGCAGAAAGCAGAAGAGACTCTGCATGCTCCAATTATACATGTGGATAAGATCCCTCAGCACAGGAAGTAAAGAACCAAGATTTTAAAAGCCCGATTTATATAGAATTTTTAGAGACTTCAATATTGAAAATACTGAACTCACTGAATATTCAAATAATACGGAAAAGTCACCTGTTTGGACTGTAGCACATAAACCATACAGTAACTACATTGGAAGCAGTATCTGGAGCTTATCCAGTACAGCCTGCTGCTCAGAACAGGGCCAGCTTTGAAGTTACATCAGGTTACTCAGGATTTTGTCCAGGCAAGTTTTGAAAATACCCACAGGTAAATAATCCCCAACCTCCCTGGGCTGTGGCATTCTTCAGCTTAATTTTTTTTCTCCTGTATCTAATCAGGTTTCCATTCCTGCAGCTTGTATTGACTGCTTTTGTGATTATTTTTGTTGGGTTTGTTTATTTATGTTTGCTTTGTTTTGCATTCCCAAGAAGTCTTCTGCACAGCCACCTCTTAGGTATTAGAAAAACAACAATAACATCCCTACCTGAGCTTCCTCTTCATGAAAACAAGCCAATGCAGGTCTTTCACCATCTCCCCACATGCTGTGTGTTCCAGTCCCTGACTTCCTTGGTGGCCCTTCACTGGATTTGCTGCGTTTTTCAACATCTATCTGAGGAGTCCAAAACTGAGTATTCATTTTTTCCATGGTAAGGACAAAGACATTCTCTTAGAATCAGTCATACTCTTCCAGTCCAAATAAATCAATAAGTAGACTCTATGGCACAATAACAAATTACATAGTAGATATTAATAACAAATTAATAAAAAATAACACTGGTGACAGTGGCAAGTTTTCCCTTATTTTTCCTGCACATAAGCACAAATGCCCTGTGCACTTCCAGAATTGCCAGAGCAAGTAGCCCACAGTACTTCTTAAACTGAAATTAGTTTGGTCTCCTCTCTCATATTTTGAGCTGTTAACTTGCTGAGCCTCCACAGAACACACTGAACTGAAAAAATGCAGCAGCAAGGTCCAAATGGGATCATCCCCCTTGAACACTTCTAAGGATTTGTAATATAGAGGTCATGCCAGACTGTCATATCTAGCATCTTTATTCTCTCACTAACAAGCACTGAAGATGTCAAAATATACCAGAGCGACAGATGGGTGGTAGGTGAGGCTACCAGACCCTCATAAATCACAGTTAGCATCATGTCATCTAGAAGTGACAACGTGGTCCCATGTCTTAGGAGTATAAAAACACCCAAATCACTCGTGTTACTTTTTATGATGTACATGCTGGTAATTCAACTTCCAAGAGTAAACAATATATAAAGGAGCTGGATTGAAGTGAGAATTCCAAATATATTTGTACTTCTTCATGAGGTGATTCCAGGTATGAAGTCTTCACCTCCACTTGCCTCAGAGAAGCAATAGAATAGAGGTTCTCTTCTCTATAAGTGACGTAGCTAGCATCCCGAAAAGATGCAGAGGCAAGCCCAGCAATGTGGCAGAGCAGAGTAGGGTATGACCCCATACGGCTGGCCAAACTCAGTTCCTGTTCCTTAGAAGAGGAAAAGTGGATTTGGCACTCTTGTTTGCACTCTTATTCAGGACATCTCATTTCTCCTGTGGCTTGTTTGTTTACTAAGTGCAAACAGTGCATGTTATATTAAACACTATACTAACATCAGTGATGTTAGTACTAACAAGTGATCTCATGTGTCAGATACATGGGGAAGGACACTCACAAATGCCATAGCTCAGTCTAATGGAAAGTCTACTGCTAAATAGAGCCAGGTCCCTGTCAGGAACCTTTTACAGCCCACAAAGCTCAAATCCCACAGCAGAGCAATAAAAAGCACTTTATGTCCTCACAGATGATAGAGAATGCACTTATGAAGGCTGGGATAGAGTCACCATTTACTTTCATTAATCTTGGATAGCTCCAGTG